ATTCCATGTGAAGTCATCCAGAGAGGTCGCTCACCATTAAAAAAAATATATATATATTTTGTAGACTTATTTCTACATATCTTCATACTTCAAAAATATTTTTAAAAAATTGTAATCCGCTCGGTTCTCCCAGTACAGCCGTTTTTATAATGCGAAAAACGCGCTTTCGGCTCAAATGGAGGTTTGCCTTATCTTCTATATCTCGATAGCTATTGAAGCTAGAGACTCCAATGAAAAGCCAATTTGTTCCTCATGATATGGACTATAATTAATTTTATTATAAGGCTATACTCAACTCACTTCCTCTAGGTGTAATTAAGCTTTAAACTTACCTATCCATTTTGGGGAAAACGCTATTTTTGACCTTCAGAAACCAATGGAAGGGGGAAAGTATCAGATCTGTGCTTTCTACCCTTTGTTTTTACCTACATGAGGAATATAATCACATAGTTTTGAACCCCGTACCTATTTTCCAAAATTCTCCAGGAGCTTCCAAACTTTGTTCTGGGCCCAAAAATCGGACAATTTAACATCTCATATCTCCTGTGGGGGAGCTCCAAAAATTTTGAAATTTATAGAAAATAATGCTCTATAGTAGAGTAACTTGGAGTTAAATTTACAACTTTGATATTTAATTAATAGCGAAGTTTTTATAATGCGAAAAACGGGTTTTCGGCTGAAATGGATGTTTGCGTTATCTCCCATATCTCGATAACTATTGAAGGTAGAGACTCCAATAAGAAACCAATTTAACCCTCATGATGCGGACTATAAATTGTATCGTTGTAAGGTTTTACTCAATTCACTTCATCTAAGTGTAATTAAGCTTGAAACTTACCTATTGATTAAGGGAAAAACGCTATTTTTGACCTTCAAAAACCAGTGGGAGGGGGAAGAATCAGATCTGTGGTTTCTACCCTTTGTTTTTTTTTTTCCTATATGGGGAATATAATCACGTTGTTTGAACCCCGTACCTAGTTTTCACACTTTTCCAGGAGATTTCAAACTTTAAACTGGGCCCAAAATCGGCCATTTATATCATCTCATATCTCCGGTGGAGAAGCTCCGAAAATTTTGAAATTCATAGCAAATAATACTCTATTCTAGAGTAACTTTCAGATAAAATTACAACTTTGATATTCAATTAATAGCAAAGTTGTGGTCACTTTGAATTTTGCCAAAAAATCAATACCTCAACAATTGGCTTACCTGCATCCAGTTGTATTAGTTCTTTGTGTACTCAGATGAAAATCCTCCAGTTTGTTTGAAAGTAGTTGCCATAACAACCCCAGTGTGCTCTCGTCAGTGGAATAGGAGCTAGAGCGAGATAAAAGGTAAAGTTGTTCCTGTGTCTTAACTAATTCAGCACTACGCCATGAAGGCGTATGGGGAGTTGATATATACATCCACATATTCTTGACCTCGGAACTAGCTGGAGGTGAGTGGTCAACTTCACATCCCGGCCGCTTTACCCCCGGGAGAGAGCCCACGGTACCTATTGGATAGGAGGTTGAGTGGACCACAGAGCCAGTTTGGACGACATGGAGAAAATTCTTGACCCTACCGGGACTCGAACTCCCACCCCTCGATCGTCCAGCCCATAGTGAGTTGTTATACCGACTACGATATGGGGATGGGGCGATAGAGCGAGATACTCCTACAAACACTCGGATTTGTAAAATGTAAAATGTAAAATTTCCGTTATATTTGTCCGATTTTAAGCAAAGTTGACTATGTCGACACATTTTTCTAGAACTTCCCAAAAGAAACTGTCGGACCGAAATTCTAACAGTGGGAACCAAGTTGTTTCATGCGGACAAACAGACACACAGACATATGCCACATATGTGGCAAACCTAATAATATTTTTTCTCAAATTTTGCAAACGTTCGTAACCCTCCCGGTCGACTTCCCACAGCGGTAGCCCGGGTTCGATTGCAGGTCAGATCATGTGAGATTTGTGGTGGACAAAGTGGCACTGGGGCCAATTCTTATTCTGCCTGCTGCTTCACAATCACCAACATCATATATCATCCAGGGTCTGGTACAATAGACCAAATAGTGGCTGACGTGACAAGTGAACCCACCCTGCCCCAAGAAAAAAAATAACGGAACCGATAACAGACATTAAAAGAAGTTTGGTTGGGACACGTGATTATAATGGATCATACATGGGTGGTTAAGAACGTTTTTCAAATTAAGACGGAAAGCGGAAGAAAATTGGGAAGCCCCAGATTAATATGTCTAGAAGAATAATGGATGATTTACGAGAATAGGGAACAGCTTACTTTCTCAACTCTGGTGCTCATGTACCAAACTACACGACGTCATACCTAGAAGACCGTAGTATCGATGTTAACTGCCATGAGAACCTAAAATCTCAAGAGTTCAACCAAGATCTCGGATTTGTTCGGACATAATCTCTATGCCAAAAAATAAACTTGGGTCTATGAGCAGAGGGGGTTTTTTGTTGGTCCCCCACAAGTATTAGGGATTAGTCTCCTGTCCACCATTGTGGATAAGTTATTGTCAAAGTGACATTTCTTACACAAAATATTCATAATGCTACGTGTAAGGGGGTATGCGAAGCGTCCTCCGTAGTCTAGAGGTAACGTTCCCACCTCATGACTCGTAGTACGCGAGTTCAAATACCCGGCGGAGGTTGTCGAATTTTTAAGGGCCGAAAAATTCAGGGAACAAGTCCTCCGGGAGGGACTTTAAGCGGTGGGTCCCGTGTCGTAGCTTTACGGCACGTAAAAGAACCTCATATCTCCAAAGGATGTCACTGAGCCAAATTACGGACGTTTCCCGCCCAACAGCAGTCTCTGGTAGATTGGGGAAGCATTATAGATACGTCTCAGTTAGTAGAGCCGGTCTCGCTGACTGGGCGGGACTGATGGTAAGCACCAGTACCGGTAGGATATAGAGACTGGTAGAAATCATAGAGGGAAGCACAATGGACCAATACAGGTCTCAGTGCATGGGGAAACCCACACTCTCCAATAACTAACTAACTAACTAACTAACTAACTAAGGGGGTACGCGTGACAAAATTAACGTGTTCTGTGTCAGATGAATGGATTTATTGTTGTTCCTTTACAATTACACTCAATTCTGACAGCTCACAAACAGCGACTGTTTATGACGAGCTCCATTCCTTGCTGGCTCACAAGCGTCTTCCCTTCTACTATGACGAACGAAGAATTCCTGCTCGCACCTTGAACTGTCTGTCACTCAAGCACACAGAATCACTTCTTCTTACTGATCCGTTGCCTTGACCACGCGCCACTCTCTATCCGCAAAAGTTGGCACTAACTATGCCGACAAGCTGCGGTCTCTCGGTCGGTGTAGTTCGCTTCTTCATATCCCTGGTAATTTTTTGTTTCTGTACGCGTTGTCACGAGAACGTGTTTACACTTTCTACCTTGGCAACGTTTCCTTCTCTGCTATTTGTTGTAAGGCGCCAATATTAGTTGTCGCGGAAATATGATTCAACTCACCGTTGTCTAGCAATGGCTGCCGTTTCTGTCTCCGCCATTCCGGCTCTCAGGCGCCATGTCACAATATGTTTACTGATCTGTAGCTTATTTAACGACACGTCAGTAGCTTAGACTACAGAACGTCAAATTACTGAACGCTACCGAATAATGGCTTTGTAAGGGCGTGGAAGGGAGCGATTATGGTTTTACTATTCCTGCATTTGCTTGGAGGGAGTGAGGAAGGCCACAAAATAACGCAGTATAGCCGGTGTCACGTCCGAGATTCGAACCTGGCATACCCCCAGACTGAAGTCTAGAACGTTACCGCTTATGCTATCTTGCTCTCTCGCTTCCTAATATATTGCATAATGAATGGGTGTGAAACTTGGTCGCTCTCCCCAGGAGAGAAACATGGTCCAGATAACGTTGCCAGTGGGAATATTTGAACCAAAGAGGGAGCAGATGACAGGTATTTTGCATAAAGAGAAGTTTCATAACTTGTACACTAAGTTCATGGCGCTGAGCCATTCTTGAGAAGCCGCCAACTGTGCAGCTACTCAAGAACTTCCTGACATTTTATGGAACACGAAGGTTCTTTACCGTATTCACAATAGCCCTCCACTGATCCCTATCCTGAGCCAGATCGATCCAATCCATACCAACCCATCCTGTCTCTTTAAGATCCATTTTAATATTATCCACCCACCTACGTCTTGTTATTCCTGGCAGTCTCTTTCCTTTTGGCTTTCCCACCAATATCCTATATATATTCCTCTTCTCCACCATTCGTGCTACGTGCTCTGTCCATCTCCTCCTCCTTGACTTGACCACTGTAATTATACTTGGCGAAAAGTACAAGTTATGAAGCTCCTTAGTATGCAGTTTTCTCCAACCTTCCGTCATTTTCTCTCTTCGGTCAAAATATTCTCCTCAACACCCTCAGTCTCTGATCCTCCCTTAATGGCAGAGGCCAAGTTTCACGCCCATACAAAACCAGAGGCAGAATTCTAGTTTTGTATATTATGTGTTTAGAAATTTGTACACATCCCCACATACACGTATTATTAGAATTATTAAATAAAGGAGGATGAGATGGGCAAGACCTATAGCCTTAATGGGAGAGATGAGAAATGCATGCAAAATTTTGGTCGGCAAACATGACGGGAAAGGACTGCGATGATCTAGCAATTGATGGAAGACAATACATGTAACGAAATATAAATAAAGAGACTGCAGAGTGAGTCAGAAATTTCGCGACTCAGATTCGTGAGACAGACGGACTGTGAGATGGGAACGAAATTATTTGTTTTGGAGGGGAACCAGTGGCTGTGCGAACAGAGTATTCAGTTTTAGAGTCTCATAAAAAGCGGAGAACTAGAGTTTATAAGTGACTGTTAGCTTCTCAACTAAGAGCTTGCTCCATAAATTAATTTTTAATTTGAATATATGACAATTTTCCTTTGGAACCTTAAAATGACCTACTTGAACTCCGAGAGCCTTTGATGATTGTTTTCTTTCCAGACGAGAGCAACACAGGGGTGGGTAGGCGTGCTTAAATTCTGGTTCATCACAACAATGCTTCATCGGGCGCCATCGCGCAGGCGCACAGCGTTTCGCAGTACTGGAGTTTCTTCAACGAGCTCTGCACAGACAGGTTCAGTTTCGTCATGCTCCAGCAGAGGAAGAATCAACACTAATGTGACTGGTCGCAAGGTGGGGGTTTTGGACACCCGGAGTCCCACTGAAGGGTCAGAGAACTGGACCAGCACACCGACCAGGGGCCCGCGTTGCAGCGTCGGAGGAGGCGATGTCGTGCCGTATACAAACCGAAGTCCAAGAAACAGTTTGGTACCGGAAAATAAAAGGACAAATCCCAGAAGCAGTCCGGTACCAGAATGTGATCCTAGTCCCAGAAACAGTCCGGTACCAGAATACGATCCTAGTCCCAGAAACAGTCCTGTACCAGAATACGATCCTAGTCCCAGAAACAGTCCTGTACCAGAATATGATCCTAGTCCCAGAAACAGCCCGGTACTAGAATACGATCCTAGTCCCAGACACAGTCCGGTACTAGAATACGATCCTAGTTCCAGAAGCAGTCCGGTACTAGAATGCGATCCTAGTCCTAGAAACAGTCCGGTACCAGAATACAATCTTGGTCCTAGAAACAGTTTAGTACCCGATTCAAATAGAAATTCTAGAAGCAGTTTAGTGCCCGATTCTTGTCGCAGCCCCAGAAACAGCTTAGTACCTGATCCAACTAAAGGCTCTAGAAGCAGTTTAGTACTCGATTCTTGTCGGAGTCCTAGAAACAGCTTAGTACCCGATCCAAATAGAAGCCCTAGAAGCAGTTTAGTACCAGATTCTTGTAGAAGTCCTAGAAAGAGTTCAGTACCCGATCCAAGTAGAAGCCCTAGAAGCAGTTTAGTATCCGATCCATACCGGAGTCCTAGAAACAGTTCAGTGCCCGACCTAAATAGAGGCCCTAGAAGCAGTTTAGCATCCGATCCATACCGGAGTCCTAGAAACAGTTCCGTACCCGATCCAAATAGAGGCCCTAGAAGCAGTTTAGTACCCGATCCATACCGGAGTCCTAGAAATAGTTTAATCCCGGATTCTAATCGGAGTAGAAGAAGGAGCTTGGCACCAGATTTTAACAGGAGTCCAAGGAGCAGTCTAGTTTCTGGCTCAACTAGGAATCAAAGAAACAGCTTGATTCCAGAAGCGTTTGATCGGTGTCCGAGGGGAAGTCTTGTACCGGATGGGGGAAGTAGCAGGAGGAGTCCACGAGGAAGCATCGCCTCTGCTTCCGGAGTAGTTGAAGCTGCGTTCGATAGGGCAGTTACCTTCATGGAGACGGAGCAACCAGGTCAGTGATGCCAACTGTTCTATACTTCGAGTACTTAATGTAGGAGCCATATTTTTATTGATGGAATCGTGAACAGTTTTTACTCTGTTGCGTTCACGTAGCTTAACATGTCTAGTATGAGAATTATTACTTACTGTCATCTCAAATGCAGCATATTATTTATTATATTTTTTATTGCTAGTTCGGTGGGAGTAAGTCCCTTGTACTGCGGCCACTTCTGGCCTATTGTACCAGCCCCAGATGATAGGTGAGGGTGATTGTGGAGCAATTGGTGGACTGAAGATTGGCAGGGGAAACCGAAGTACTCGGAGAAAACCTGCCCCAGCGCCACTTTGTCCACCATACATCCCGCTTGACCAGACCCTGGATCGAAAATTCTTGACCCTACCGAGACTCGAACTCCGACCAATCGGTCATCCAGCCCGTAGCCAGTTTCTATGCCGACTGCGCTATCCCGGCGCCGTTCCGTCGTACTCGGATGTTGACAATGTAATATATTAATTTTATAATGATTACATACTTATTTGTGTCATTATCTGATGACGACGCAGCCTCGGTTCTATTTTAGACAGAGAATATGAAACTCGCGGTACGTCCTAAGAACCCCCACTAAGAAGCAGAATGAAAGAGAAGAATGGTTACACTGTTTATGACACACCATATAGCACACCCACTTCTAGTTTGAATTTCAGTCCACAGAGACAGTCTTCCGGAATTGAATTATGAATTATTGGGTTTCATTTTCACGTCGTGTGACTCGAACGATCGTTATTGGCAACAGGGTGTTTCACAAGTTCCTTCATATCATTAAATTTGCCAGTTACAGATTTTATTCGAAAGCCCATCGAAATATTTGAGTTTAGGCCTACATTTCATTTTTGATCTTATTTCAATAAATGCCGATTGCGAATAAGAGTCTATGTTTCGTTATAGACCCAGATATTGCGTTCCGATATTATGACTTTGGCCAGGATGGAACGAAAGTCTCTACGTTTCTATATTACGCTTTCTGTTTGTTTGTTAAGGATAATCCGTATAATTCTTCCTTAAGACATGATTACCAGAATTGCCTACTTCAAAACCTATTTTTTATCGATGATGTCAGTTTCTGAAATTTATAACGTCGAATTATAGGATAACTGGAGAAGAAGGAATTGGATCTGTAATTTATACCAGGCTGCACGGCATAAAATACTAGAAGACAATGTTTTATGTAGTTACTGCGGCGAGAAATTAAGTAAAAAAGAATTTGTTTTGTTTTCTATCAGGTACATCACGCGGTACTAGGAGCCTGTCACCCTACAGAATGTCAGTGTCGGCTAGAGGCGCTCAGATGAACTTTGGCTACAGTGGCGGAATGGAATCTCGACGAGCAAGCAGCAATGTCAGCCAAGTAAGTGACATTACTGTACGTGGGTTCAAACCCGGCGGAGGTCGTGGAATTTTTAAGGGCGGAAAAATTCAGGGAACAAGTCCTCCGGGGAGGGACTTTAAGCCGTGGGTCCCGTGTCGTAGCTTTATGGCACGTAAAAGAACCTCATGTCTCCAAAGGAGGCCGCTGAGCAAAATTACGGACGTTTCCCGCCCAACAGTAGTCTATAATACCTCTGGTCGATGGGGGAAGCATTATAGATACCTCTCAGCTAGTAGAGCGGGTCTCGCTGGCTGGGCGGGACTGATGGTGAGCACCAGTACCGGTAGGATATAGAGACTGGTAGAATATTATAGAGGGAAGCACAATGGACCAAGACAGGTCTAAGTGCATGGGGGAAACCCACCCTCTCAAATAACTAACTAAGTAACATTACTTCATGACACGATAATAGATGTCACTGATATAAAATGATAGAACGAATCTAAAAATTATTGTATTCCGGGGTTTGACGCCATGTAGTTTAGTGAATCAGTACCAACGTTTCGGAGGAACCAATTGCCTCCACCTTCAGAGTACTCAGACACCGCCATAGCTCAGAAAATTAGTCCATGTCTCCATACTCTGGCGGCCTCGTTCGGTCCCAAGTCACGTCATATGGGATATATGGTTGTCAAAGTGGCACTGGTGCAGGTTTCCTCCAAGTGCTTTGGTTTTGCATGCTTGTTTTCATTCCGTTAACTGCTCTGCATTCACTAATCGCCCTGTCTTTATAGAGTGTATAGGTTGGATGCTTTTATTTCCTTGGCACCACAGCCCCAGTGGGCCTAGGCCTACCTCCATGAACTTCTCCGTTCACTTCGGTTTTTCTAGATCTTACACATACGGTAGGACTGCTTGGGCGAGTGATCAGCTCGTCGCAAGGCCTCTACCTGTAGACAAACACACAAAAACGCACACAAACATCCATGCCCTGAGTGGGATTCGAATCCACGATCCCGGCTTCCGAGCGAGTGAAGACAGTGCATGCCTTAGACCGCTCGGCTACCGTGACCGGCAGGTTGGATGCTTACACGTCATTAAATAACTAACTATGAAACATCCAGAGAAGTCACATTCCTGGAAACAGTAATCTTCATGGTCACTGGTTTTCGAACCACAAATCTTGCTCAGAAATTGATATGTAACTTCGTGTTTTGCTGTTGCCTGCGCCGTATGTTGAAAACTGTTCCGCTGTTTTGGAATACGCTGCAGCTGGCTTCCTCAGGCTGATGATGTAGAATGAAGATCTGGTCGTGATGTGGGAATAAAGGTAGAGTTGAGGGCCATAATGCTATGCAGTGAATATTTGGAGGAGAACAGCTGCAAAACAATCAAATTTGTGTCCGCGTTGACAGCTGAAGTTAAGGTTTTGACCATAACAAAGCTGAAATTTTACCAAATATTCCAAAACATTTACATTCTGGAGGAACTAATGCTCAGTCATTATTAGGAAAACTCTTTAGAATATTTAAGAAGTGTTTTTTTCCTTAGTATCCACATGCGTCCCACGTGTAAAGGTGATGTAATAGATACAACGGATGCCTTCTGGTGGCCCGAGGTAATCGTTAACGACACTGGCTAATTGAACCCCAGTGCCAAGCAGCCCTCTGCACGATGCTTCACACCTTGGCTTGGGTGGACCATTGCGCTGTTCGCCATGTTTTCAGATGTTACCCACCTCCGCGACGAGGTCACCAGGCTTGGCTTTTGGAGAGGTTCCTTTTCCTTACTCTTCTACCTCTTCAGAGAAGTGATCGGCACAATTATGCTCCCTGGGCCGCAAGTGGTTTAAAGGAGAAGGTTTTAGTGGCTGAGATGTGTGAATAAAATGGATGAAACAAGAGCGGCTTAGAAATTTTTGGAATGTAAGTCAGAATGTAGGAGGAATTTTGAAGGCCCAGATTTATGTAGCTGGTAGTTGTAAAGTACGATTCGCAAGAGCTGAAAATGAAGAGCTGGATGCAAAAAACGTATAATAGAGGGCATACATATGTTGCGAAAGAGGCTAAGGTTCTTAGATGGCCACAGAACCAAGTAGTAAATAAGTAAGTAAGTAAGTAAGTAAGTTGTATTACTGTTGTAGGTGTCTTCAGACGATCGGCGGCACCTCTTTGAACGCAGCAGGTTAAGTTCTGATGTGGGACTTAGTGAATATGGTTCTTTTGTCTACCAGCTGAACGACGCCCATGTGGAGGCGTCTGGAAGTTGTGATTTCATGTGCCGCGCACTACAGATTGTGTACAAGACAGGTGAGTGCCTCTGTAATGAGCATAACAACTTACTGACTAGCAAACTATACCAAATATCAAAGTCACGTGGTTAGCACTCCAGTTTTGTTTGCAGGCGGCCCCAAATTCAAATCTCCTCTTGAAGACTAGCTCTCCTGACTGTGTTTTCAAGGTTTGACTCCGTCCCTTCAAGTAGTTGCTGGTATGGAGTCTTAAATTAAACCTCATCGCTCCCTTTCATGTGCTTTCCGATTCATTATTCAGTAGCTGTCTCACCATTTCAGCAGATAGGATAGCTTTCTCAGTATAGTGACAAAACTGTGGCATGGATGATTTGGAGGTTTCGATTTGATTCCCAGGAACGTAGAGATTTATCTGTTCTCCACACCTCCCAGATAAATTCTGTGGGTCACCAAGCCTCTTATTCAATTTCTCTGGGAGTACGTCTGACCTCCATCTAATGTTGAGTTTAGACGTGGCGAATCTATATAACTCCACCCCTTCAATCATAATCATGGTACAACTTTACCTTACCTGTCATCTGACACTATATAGACTAACCTGCTGAAAGCGTTGGTACGTAACTCCTGAAGTGACTGCCTGTGTTCATGTCACAGAAGGAAGGCCCATGGATGGTGGTGATGACAGTACTCAAGGCTTCCCTCTATGTGCCTACTATTGTATCCCCACCCCAGATCTTTCTGGCCTGTCAGCAAGTGCAAAGTGCTTGTCAGCTGGGAAACTTTCCACTACATAGATTCCTGTGGAAAATATGGCCAAACGGCCAGAGCGAAATACAGAGAAGTATACTGGAGGGGAATTGGAGATGTAGTGGGAAGTAGCCCATGCGACTTCTGTCCTCGGCCTCAGCATAGCTATTTAAGGACAAAGTAAGAGATATGTGAAGTTCTTATGGCGTGAAAATTTAGATTATAGCCACCGTGTAGTCTGGTAGAAGGAAACCAACGTTTTGGAGAAACGTACCATCCCCATTTTAATGGCAGAAAATTGAGGCAGTATGCTGTTTCTCTGAAATGTTATTTCCCACCTACCAGAATAAATGATGATGTAACCCGAAAGACTCCATTTTAGGTCATTAAGATAAAAGGTAAAGCTAAATATATCCCACTGCTTAATTAGTTAAGCACTATGCCATGAAGACATATGGGGAAGTGAGGGTATGGCTCCACTCATTCTTAACCTCAGCAGAAGATGGTGGTGAGTAGTCAGCTTCATACCCCTGCCGCTATAACCTCAGGTAAAGAGCTCCCAGTTCACATCGGATAGGAAGCTGGATGAGCCAGAACCAGTCTGGACATTGTGGAGAACAGAAAAATCACTTTCCCCTGCCAATTACGTTGACTAAATGTCTTCAGCTAGTATAGGGAATATCAGTTTGACAACTGGGGTTTTGGGGTTTGATACTTGGCAAGGGTGAGTGATTTCTCACTTGTCCACAGCATCCAGTCAGAAGCTGGTGCCCTCTGAGCATTCTATTCAGTGGATATGGGGGGCCTCTTTTCCAGAGGATTAATTGGTTTAGGGACTAAAACTGACCGCTCACCACTATGTAATGCTGAAGTCAAGAATATATGGAGCTTCATGGCACGGGACATAACTAAGCACGGGAAGAGCTTTGCCGTAACATTAACTACAGCTGAAGAAATAACTACAATATATAATTGCTTGTGTTGTTTCAGTGGTGGTCACCGTGATCCTAATGTGTCTGACGGCTCTTCCTTTATTCATGCTTATCATGGGTGAGGTGCTGTTTGCATGTCTGCATGCTAGCATGCTGCATGTATCCATATGTGTAAGGGTCGAAACCTGTGATATGTTGCTCGCTTGTCTAGTTGCAGCATTTTTACAAAACCTGCAAAATGTTTCTATGACACTGTTAGTAACTAGACTATATAGTGTCAAAAATGAAATGCATGATGATTTGTATAAAAAAATTGGGGGGAAAGCGGTTGTGACCAAGTTATGCTACTCTCCTGACATTTGCCTGGAAGTACTGAGGAAAATCATGAAGAACAATTTTCAGACTAGCTCCTGGTCCTACTGAAATTCGAAGTTTGCACCTCCTGGATATAAGCCTAGACCATTACCCCTACTCTAACTCATTTAGTCAGAATTGTATTAGTTAGTTAAATTCTTGGGGTGGGGTGAGACTGAGTCCAGTTGGTACAACGGCCACTAATTGGCCTATTGTACCAGCCCCGAATAATAGATGAAGATAAATATGGAGCAGTAAGTGGAATAAGAATTGGCAGGGGAAACCGAAGTACTCAGATAAAAACTGCTTCAGTGCCACTTTGTCCACCACAAATCACACTTGACCAGACCCGGGATCGAACCCGGGAAGACGGCGACTGAATACAAAGAAGAAACCTACATTTTTGCAACTTCTTCTTTTCTTTTTCTTTGCTTTTAAGCTAAAGCATTATTACTCAGACTTTGACCTCTTGAGCTGCAGTGCCAATGACAATCTCCACAAAGTGAATATTAAATAAATATGATAGGATACTCTTCCGTTTGGTTGAATTGGATCTGCATTTCGGCTTCAAGGAACAATTTGTAGGTCTGACAAATGAATACATATGCACACAATGATTACGATCGTAAACAGTTATTTTTATTATTAAGAACTTACAAACTGTTGAACATTTCTGTAGATTTGAACATCAAATCGTAAATAATTTTTTGAATCCTCCAGAATATTTTGCAAACTTACAAGGTCCTTCGACAGGGTGGCCGTCTCTGTGTTGTTTGAAACTGAGTGTTTGAACCTAACTAATTGACTTCATGGAGTTGGGCCCTTTTGAGAACCTGCCAGTTGCGCAGCTGCTCAAGAATTTTGCAACATTTTATGGAATCTGAATGTTCATTACCGTGTTCACAGGAACCCTCCACTAGTCCCTATCCTGAGACAGATTAATCCAGTCCATACTACCCCATCCTGTGTAAGATCGACCATAGTACGTGTATTATCCTCCCACCTATGTCTAGATGAGTAGGCTAACGGCTGAACCATGGAATCGGTGTTTGTTTCCCAGTAGGTGGAAGAGATTTTTCTCTTCTCTGCAGTGGCCAAATTGCCTCTGTGGCACACCCAGTCTCCTATTAAATGAGTACCTGAGGATCTTCTTCAGGGCGTCCACACCATCTCTGGGAACCACCGAGCCTCATGTCCAGTGGGGTACACCAAGGCTCTTCCCGCAGTATCCTAACCAGCTTTGGAGACCACTCAATGCCCAGCCCGTAGATACTGGGTGTTCTTTCATAAGTATTAAAGGCTCAAGGCTGGCCACTCACCTCCATCTTACGCTGTTATGAATGCGTGGAGCTGTTAAGCACAGGGACGACTTACTGTTGCTTGGAACTACACTGACCATAGTGTCATTGTAAGAGTGTAATGCCTCAAGTTATAACAGAAGACTGGAAGGCAAGTACTCCATAATGTAGTACACAAAGTTAATGCTGGCATTACTTGAAGTTTATTAAACTTACCGTGCTTGAAATTGGAAATAATAAAATGCAAATTAGTGAAAGTCTCCAATTTCGAATTTAAAGAACACTAGCCGAAGGATTTAGGTGCTGATAATACGTCACAAACAGATGGAAAGACATGACCTCCAAGAAAAACGTTCTTTTTGCTCTGTTGGAAACGCCTTAAAAACGAGTTTTTTTTTCCTTGTCAAATATGACAACGGTTATCAGTCACTTTGACCGCCTCTGTGGTCTAGTGGTCAGAGTTCGTGGCTACAGATCCAGAGGTCATAGGTTCTATTCCCGGCGCTACCAGATTTTCTGAGAAGTAGTGGGTCTGGAACGGGGTCCTCTCAGCCTCGTGTGGATAATTGAGGAGCTACTTGAATGGAAAATTATCGCCTCCGGTCTAGAAAAACCGAAATTAACGGCCGTTGGGATTCGTTGGGCTGACCACGCGACACCCTCTATCCGTTAAATTTGGTACTAACTTCGCCGACAAGCGGCGATCGCTCGGTCGGTATAGTTCGCTTGCAGGCTAAAGCCACGGAGTTTGTCAGTCACTTTACCGCCCATTATTAGGGCCTAAGTATTCTGTGGATTCTCTCCCTTTGCTCCCGTGTCACCTGTGATAACGCCTCCTGAACCTCCTATGTTTTGTGAGCTCTGAGATCCTCACAGCGGCGATGGAGTATTATTTTATTTTGGGATGTGACGCCGTGTATTTTTCAGTTAGGTGCTAGCATTTCAGAGCAATCTACTGCCTCTATTTTCGGCATAGAAGAGAACCTTAGACCCTGAAGCGGAGGCAACAGTATCCTACGAAGCATTATCACGTATCTAGCTGATTCAACAGCGTCACATCCCACAAACTGCTTTCTCGTTTACCGAAAGTTGCATCCATATATAAATCTCTATATGTTATTTGTGTGTTTGCTGTAGATTGATATGCGAGATATCGATATTTTTTCAATTGTTTTCGTCGGAATGCGTTGTTTTGGCCCACGTTGCACGCCATTGTTTCTGAAATACCTACCTCCACTAACTTCTTTACGTCCATTCTCTTTAGTTCTTTTATTTGTAACATTGTTGTAAAACCGCATGAAAATTTGACTTCATTGCCTACACGTACACACGAACGTGTTGACTATTGATATAAGCGAGAATATGTATTTGTGTTTGACGTCAGTTGTTAAGGGAGATACTGACATTTTAAACATTTCCTTGTCGGAATGCACTGTATGTACCCGTGTATAGTTTCTAGGCGCTTCTTACAAGCTATTGATTTTTAAATACTGGTCTTCACTGCCTTCTTACTGTTCCATTCTCAATTTGTATTTTTTTATAGGCGAGCATGTCAGCGTTATTATTGCTTGAATTTGTCGTATATCGATGCATTCGAGATATCGCTGATTGCAAGAATGCCATTTTAGAATGCAATTTATTTCATATGTATTTTCTTGCAACATATCGAAATCCACTGCAACTTATGTAATGTTATTATTCGCATGATTTACGTTCTAATTCTACTGTGTTGATCGCTTATTCGGGATATCGATGTGTCGCAGGGGTGCAGTTTCTGCGGGACTGCCCCGTAGAGCCTCAGATTCCAGTGTACATGCTGGTAGGGGGAAGTTTCGGGACGCTGAAGATGCTGTGGCTCTTGTGGCGACAGATAAGCTCACGGCGCTACGAGCTTCTAGACCTCACAGCCCAAGTTTCCAACCTTGACGATGGCACACTAGTACCATCTGCTGGCACACGAATGTTATCAACGGCGCTCTCTCTGTTCCTCGTCGTTTGGTTCGCCCTTGGGAACTACTGGGTCCTGCACGTCGCCTGGCCGGATTTTGAACCTACTCTGTTCGAACCCAACAAATGGTGCCACAAAACGCTGTACCTGTTTGCTTTAGTTCACTTCATTGTTATTTATTCCGTGTTTGCGCTGGTGGGGATTGTTGCTATTATTCTCTTGTACTGCTACCTGCTGAAGTGTCCTGTACTTACACGGTACAAGTAGGACACGGATCAAGGCCTTCAGCCGGCCTTGAGGGCGAAGGACACCGCAGTGTGATCCTTGGATGTCTTGTGCTGTCATGGTCGTCAGTAAGCCTCGTGCTTCCAGTGGGCGATAGGTTGGTATAATTGTGATATGATGCTTCTCGAAGGCGCTGAAATCCGTTAACAAAATCTTTGGAAGAAGAAATTTGCAAAGTCTCCTGATGTAATGGTTAGAAATGAGCGTGATTCCTTATTCCTCTGTTCTGAAAATGCTTTAATTGGCCTTCCTACAGATATGTCACATATTTCAAAGCACTCTCTTCTGGAATATAACGCTGTGTAGTGCGTTGAAAGTCAACAGACGTTTCGAAGGAACATGTCGCTTCCATCTTCGGGCTCGAAGAATAAGCCGAGCAAGAAACCATCACGTAAGCAGGTGCAAGCAGAATTTCGCCCTGGTTTCTTGCTTCGGCGCTGAATATGAATGTGACATGTTCCTTCAAAATGCCTGTTGACTTTCTACGGACTACACAATGTTATATCTCAGAAGACAGTACTGATTTGAGGTATTTAGGAAGTTCGGCGTTTGAATGCCCTCACGTGGGATGATACACATACGACGTTCTGTGATGAGCCGATCAGGTACTGAAGTAATATTATAGTTATTACCTCTTACAGTTCTAGAGGTTTCAGTGTTGGTGTTACTAATGAGAGGGATTATATGAAGTATGCCGTTGAGATGGCCTTAGGTGGTATGACGTATGTGCCGAGTTTCGTAAAGATCGGTTCAGCTGCCCAGCATTTGTTACGGTGGGTACTCATACAGCAAGGTGATCTCATAAGCCTACTTTCTTTTTTAAAAGTACGGAAAGTAAAAAAAGTAATTTGAAGATTGTGTTTAAGAACGGCTTCTGTTTCTGTAATTTTGGCAACAAATTTGATTTTCTTTTATTTCGTAGATATGATGCTGAATCAAAATTCATTAAGTCGGAACTCTGTGATTCTTAAATACAGCGTTAAAAATATGCATTGGAGGCTCTCATTGTGGTACCTGTGAAGTGTACTATCCCCTGGGGTGTGAAACTACGCAGTCTGATAGATGTTCACCGACGTTTCGGTGGAACCTACTCGCTCCATCTTCAGCAGCGAAGAGCAAGCCAAACAACCAGCATGAAAGAAGCTGAAATCAGAAGTGTTTGCTTGTCTTCTACATGAAGATGGGGGCAGAACGTTCCTCTGGAATATCGGTGAGCGTTCACCGCACTAAACGGAATCACAGTTCGGTTCTTGTTTAAACGGATTTTAATGTCTCAAATCTGGCTTCATAATACGGTGCGTGAGAAGTACTGCCATCTGCCGCCTCCTTGCCCAGTTCCCCCTGCTCTGTTGGGTCACTGTTACGCAACGATGCTATACGGTTATTGCCATAATCATGAAGTCTTTGTCTATGAAATACATATTTTGTTGCAGAACGAAGTAAACAACGAAAGGACGTTCTCTTGATTTTCTCTTAATCTTCGTCCGCTATACGCCTCTCTCTCTCTCTCACTGTCTCTGCCGTCTTTCTACGAATTACACACATATATTTTTTCGACGCCACAAATGGCATGAAACCTGCATTCAGTGACCGTCCTTTTCTTTAAGATCTGTACTGCATTTCACTTTCTTAAGACGTGAACAATTACCAGTTGTTTGTGGGGCCATTACGGCGAAACATAATGTCATAATGACTGATATAAAAGTTAAGTACAAATTAATATTATAACATTTGTCTACTATTTTATAAATTTGTATAAAATTTTGGAACCAAAATGTAATAAACTGGTGACTGAATTTGTTTATTTACATTCACGTCTTAAATTAATGTGACTGAGTACAGATCTTTTGATGTAGATTGATCATAAGGCATATTATTGTATTCTGAAATATATTTAATCTCCCGTATTAGGGATTTGTCATACCAATAATATATAGATACCACTATTTTAAGAAGAATAGTTTGAATTTACTGAAATGACTTTTGAAGTATGTGCACATAAGATGTAACAAAATGTCTCCTGGACCCCTATCCCGATGCAAATTCCTCACACAATACAAATATAATGAGCAGTGTTAATCCTGTTGAGAATCCAATTGAAGGAATGGTTACCCGCCCCATGAAGCGTCGAGTCCCATCTAGCGGTGTCAGAACGTAATTCGTCTGTCAAGCAAAAATCAAATAGTTAATACAAATACAGTTGGTATTGCAGACCAAATTGTACATTAACTAGATATAGTTTATTGTTGTCACATATTGAGTAATACAAGATAAATGGACCACGTTTATAAGACTTAAAGATTTCAATTAGGAAAGTTTAATTAGATGTTTATAACAGATTCATGTAAATTGGAATTGAAATAAACATGGGGGCCGCCAGGACTTCTTCTGAGGAGGTGGAGCCAGAAGCTTTGCTCGCAAACTTACGCAGCAGATCAAGAATATTTTTTAATAACCGATCGTCCAAGAATTTTCAGGATGGAAGAATATTTGTTTTAAAATAATTTTAAAATTTTGTATTTACGAGTATATAAGGTAGTTTTTTCTGATTATTTAAAAAATCCAGGGCGGAACTTTTGCCTGCCTTACCCCATGCCTGCCGGCGCCCATGAAAATAACCTGTTTATCATATTCCCTGCACCTGTCATAAAGCAGGCCTCTGTGAAATTCAGTAAATGTAAGAAATCAGCCTGAAATTCAGTATGTTTAGTATTATCGTGTAATAAACCACAAACAACACGTTTTTGTTTAGCCGCTTACGGAAAAAAAAGAACAATATTTGAATTCTGTCAGTTTAATCTGAAAATGTTTATATTATCATGACATAATAGGCATTGCTTCTACCGTGTCTGAGCATCATATAGTGCTTTTTAAGGAATAAGTACATACGTAGCATTCAGCATGCAAAATTCACGTTTGCAGTTTGGTGTGCAGTGCTTTTCTACAGCGACATGTTACGAAATTTCGATCACCAGGTTATATTATATTTATTTTGGGGGGAAATTTTTAACGAACCTTCTGATTTCACAACATAGGCTATTCTTCGGTAGGTGAGCAACTGTGAGGGAGAGCCGGGATAGCTCAGTCGGTATAGCGACTGGCTACGAGCTGGACGGCTAAGGGATCGGAATTCCAAACCCGTTGGTGTCAAGAATTTTCTCTTCTTCATGGCGTACAGACCGGCTCTGAGGCCCAACCAGCCTCCTATCCAGTGGGTACCGTTTTTTTTTTCTGGAGGTAAATCGGCAGGGGCGCGAAGCTGACCTCTCACCTCCAGCTAGTGCCGAGACCAAGAAAGCTTTGATCTATATATGCACTCTCCCATACGTCTTCATGGCGTAGTGCTTAATTAGTGAAGTTCAGGGAAAACATTGCCTTTTGTCTAGGCGAGCAACTGTTCCCTCCTCAAGAAGAAGTTACTTCAGAAGAATTCATTCAAATCATAAGTTCTCTGCACAACATATCACGATAATCAACTAAACTTCGCAAAAATATTATATACTTNAACGTCGGTTAACACCACATATACACGGTGCCAAATCCCAGAAAACTGCTTTCTTCATAGTCACCGCCGTGAAAGCCCCAAATCTTATAATTAATGTAACTTTAAGCTCACCAACCATGTACCTGGCAATGTCAAGAGTGTAATCATTTTTACGATGTTCGAAAGGTATCCTGAGAGATTATACCAGGTTCGGATATGCTACTGATAGATGGCGGGGGAAGAGAACAGCAGAGGTTTTGAATGTATATGTATACAAATTCTGTAATATGAATACGAATTTGTTTGTGGCCTACGAGACCATGGCGTCGCACTAACGTGTCATTATCATTCAAATGCAGTTGGCAAACAGTTGGGCAGTTGGATGGTCAGAAGAAGTTTCGTACTTGATAGAGCATCCTCCCTGAAAAACGTTTACAGTTATCATAAACTTGCTTAATACATAGGAATATTGTATTTCTGCGTCGTATTATGTCATATTATTTATATAGTCATAGAACAGCGAAAGTAATAATAAACATTTCCATGATCAAAATATGGGCATACTGAGAAGTAGCCTTTTGAAGCGTGGAGCTCATTTAAATTATATTAAAAAGAATTCAGTTCCTACCACGCACAAAATACTGTATTTCCATTACAAGAACCAGTCTGTTAATGCTGTTCAGGGAAATAATCTATCCTTATTCTGAAAACAGTACGAAACTTATACGTGCCTTTGAAAGGAAAGATAGACCATTCTAATATATTGAATCGGGTGCTTTAAAGATTTAAAATACTATTCCACATGCTTGTTTCAGTTTGTAGGTATGAACATAATCTTGTCTGTATTGCCAATGAGATATGATGTCAGAGTTGTTATCTGTTGGCGACAATGAATCGAAAGTTGGTACATATCGATATGGTGGTGGATAGAAGCAAAGTAAAGAGTGTGTTCTTATTATGCTTACTGTCGTGTACAATTATATAAAAAAATGAAACAAATTCCTGTAAGACTGGTTTTCGATCCGTGAGGAATACTATTTCATTACAGGAATAAGAAATTCGAGTCTTTCCTTTCTTGAATGTGCATCACAACTGTTACCAATTGCAGTTACTTTCGTAGTGCGGGTATCAAACTGAAATTTAAATATTATATATTTTAGAGTTTTAAATTAATGTTGTGTTGTAATATAGTTTGTGATGTTGCTCTTGCGTCTGAGAAACAAAAACGCTTTAAAGTTACATAGGTGCTTGTATTTTATGAACTTTGATGTAATTCTATTTTATAATCCTTAAACATATCTGTACATATATACCACAATTTGAAACAGGGTGGAGCAGTTGTGTCGAACTGAGGGAGTACTTCCGTTCTGAAGAAAGGACGTTTCGGAGAGAATTTCTTCTCATGACCAACCGTAACGTATAAAAAGGATTTCATAGAGAAACATGATATTCATAGTACTGTATCACATTTTACGCCGTGTAAAGCAAATTTATGACAGCAGAGTAGTCATAGATCTTCCGGGATCTTAACCAGCCTCTGGCTTGCTCTTTATGTATGTGTTAAAACCAGTTATGATGTAAGGCTGTGAAACATTGCTTGTTCCAAGACTAGGAAGGGTAAAGTTATGATAAGTACGTGAAAGGGTTAAATATGTGGGAGAGGAACATTTTGATGAAGTTATATAGACAACTGTGAGTCGGTGAACCAGGATAGCGACTGGTTACTGGCTGGACGACTGAGGGGTCGGACTTCGAGTCCAGGTGGGGTCAAGAATTTTCACCTCTCCATGTCGTCCAGACCGGCTTTGGGGTTCACCCAACCTCATATCCCATGGGTACCAGAGGCTCTTTCCCAGGAGGTAAAGCGGCAGGGGCGTGAAGCTGACCACTCACCTCCAACTAATGCCGAGGTCAAGAAAATCTGAATCTACATATCCACTCCCCAATACGCCTTCATGGTGTAGTGCTTAATTAGTTAAGCACATGGACAGCGGCCTCCGTAGTCTAGGGATAACGTTCCCACCTCATGACTCAAGGTACGCGGGTTCAAACCCGGCGGAGGTCGTGGAATTTTTAAGGGCGGAAAATTTCAGGGAACAAGTCCTCCGGGAGGAACTTTAAGCCGTGGGTCCCGTGTCGTAGATTTACGGCACGTAAAAAGTCCTCATGTCTCTAGGAGACCTCTGAGCGAAATTAGGCAACAATTTCTCGCCCACGTAGTTTCCAACGCCTCTGGTAGATGGGGGAAATATCAGGTACCGACGGCCGACCTCGTTGGCTGAACGGGGCTGATAGCACGCACCAGTACCGGTAGGGTATGGGGACAGTAGAAATTAAAGGGGGACGCACAATGGACCGATAACTGGTCTATGTGCATGGGGAAATCCACCCCCTCTAATAATAATAATAATAATAATAATTATAATAAGCACATGGACATATTTGCCTTTTGTATAGACCACTAACCAAGCAAGGGGTTTGGAGAATCGGAAATGACCGAGATATACAGCAGTTAAATAAAACTCATCGTTTGGTAGTGGATATTAAAAGGAGAAGTTTGGAGTGACTGGACATGTGATCACAATGGATCTAACAACATTGGCTAAGAATTTTTTTTGAAACTAACTCAGGAGGCAGAAGGAAGTGAGAAAGCCAAGATTAAAATAGCTGAAAGATATAGAGAATGATTTTTGAGCGTTTAAAATAACAAGACCGAGGACAAAATAACTACTGGAGACGAATGGGCAATGTCATAAAGGAGGGCTAAGATTCTTAGATGAGCATAGAAACAAGAAGTAAATAAATATACCTAATTTTTGTGGAAGTCTGCATTTTTATTTTCTCTCACTGACAGCCCTCTGTATGGAGAATATTGTTGGTCTAAGTTATAGGTTGCCATATTTCCACCCAGACAGATAAGAAGTCGCAAGGGCTTCCTGGTATATCTTTGACAGCATAAATGTAAGAAAGATTTGTTCTGCTCAATTCCTGTCTGACATTGAACTGACAACGACATCTGTAACTTATAAATGATCCTTAGAGATAGGGTAAATGCTTGCAAACTGTTCGGCGGAATATACTGCTCTCATCTTCAGGTTTCAACCTACCTAGAAACCACTTGAAAGACTGCATGACGTGACAGCCCTGAAGACCTCATTGTCACTACTCTATACATGACCTTTAGTTCTTTTACGTCTATTTCATCAGACTGGTAAATAATATTTACCTTCGAAGTTTTTCTAGAACTGTGAATAAAAATATATTCGTGGTTCGCATTCGCGGTGCTTATTTTTCTCTCCTTTTGCTGAGAGTGTAGGGAAGTTTCGACGTGGAAAAGGGGAATATTCTCTTTCAGAGTTTGACAAAACTGCGCCGAGTATTATATGAGGGAACGGGATATCAGACGTGGCCCACTATGCTGTGTCTGGTTACCCGGTCTTAGAGACCAATGAAATCAAAATTGTGTACCGAACTGTGCTTATCTTGCTCCTTGTGCCATTATGTGTTCCACCTTCAGAGTGGTACGCGCAACTGCCGACAGATTGTGTGCATTGCGTCTTGTTTACACAACAGTTGCTCGAAACAGTTTTATTCTTTCTTATTTAATGCACACATTACGTTTTTAATAGAATGGAAAAATGTCCTCTTGCTTCTGCTGAGAACCGAACTCCGACTCTTCTGTCTCAAGCCTGTAACATAACTGCTATACTGATTGATCTGCTCCCCCCACAATTTTATGTAAATATAGTTAATAAACTTATGTAAAAGATGTCTCTTTCAAAGGACTTCATTTTCACCTACTTCCTAGAGCTCGCGATCCGATCTGTTCCGTGACCACAGTTTGAGACACTTATTTACTAACGTGAACAAGACTCAAGCTACCTTCTGTCGCTGCATCACTGTTCTTGGAATAATTGTAATGTGTTGTTTGTAATGAAAGTTGTATTAATTCGTTAGTTGGTAAATTTATTTTTGCTGAGTAGAGGGTTTAGGACCTCGAAAAAGCAGAAAATTTGGGCCGCGGCTTTAAACACACAAAAGTACATATGTATGAGAGTGAGTGGGCTTATGTAGTACAGTTTCCTCACTTCTCTCATCACAGTTTGTCGTGTTGTGTCGTGTTGTACCGGTGTTCTCTCTCCGTCTGATGGCAGTGCTCGGGGAGAGAGAGATACCCATATGTTTACTGTGTGCTTCTGCCAATCCTTACATCTCCGCTCGGATTGATTTTGGCTGTCTCAAAAATCAGTTGTAATGAACTAAGGCACCTTTGAGCTTTTAATAATTTTAAATCTCAATGAATCAATGAACCCGAACCTTAACACGTGTTTCTGGTATATGAATTACGTTATTTTATTTAATAAGGATTAGTTTCATTCATGTGTAAAAATTGTTCTTCGCTGTTCATTTGTCCGGCTGTTGTGTCTGATGTGACGAGAAAGAGGTCGATTGAATTAGAGATTTCTGTCTTGTGGGATGTGGTACAGGTGGGTTTTGTAGATAGGAACCGTGGTTTCGGAGAAAATTGCTGCCTCCATCTTTAGGGTAGAAGAGTAAACTGCGCTGGTAAACATGGTTAGCCGACCTGATGTATGGGACGGACGTAATGCGGTCACAGTTCCTATCCTTCGTTGCACACTTAGGCCTACCATTCTTTCCAACGCCACTTCTCGGCACGGATCACGCAGAAAACACACTTCTTCCACTGTTGTCCCAGTCATCTCCATGGAAATGT